ATAAACAGGCTAAATAACGGGGTGATTCGAAAACGTCCTCTATATTTGCAGAAGTAGCTGAAATATAACAACTAAATATAGCTATGGTGTTTGATGTACTTTTTATTCTCGTGACTTACTACATAATAGACGTTCCAACATTTGTCTTCAATTACTTCAATTACTAGAAAAGTATGATACATTAATAAAATTATGCGATTTAGATATTCATTTTAAATCACATTTTTCAATTTTAAATGTTTGATGAAATCTTTTTATTTATGTCTCACAATGGGGTCTATTCTGTAACAATTCCTTTATATTTAACGGCCTTTAAAAATATTGTCGGCCTTTAAAAATATGTTCGTATTCGTTAAATTTACTTCTGTCATTATTTAAACAGATTTCTTTAAGAAGTCCTCTAATGTATTTTAAAGATCCGTTTAAATAATGACAGAAGTAAAGAAGAACATATTTTTAAAGGCCGTTAAATATAAAGGAATTGTTACAGAATAGACCCCAATAATAGATGGTACTAGAGTTACAGATTCACCTGCCTCTTCAAATTGTATATGTATAATCGATTTAGGGTTTTTTGTTAATTCGGGTTAATACTACAACTTTTAAATTTTTTCTACATATTCCTCCATTTTAGTGAATATCCCTTCTATAAAATATCTGTCTTGGAAAGTTATTTCAACGGCCATAATCTCCTAATGTAATTCCCAAATAATCCACCATGTCTTTTCTGCTGTATCTATGAGCCACAGATCTTTGAAGTTGATCTTATTTACATCCATTTCCTTGTATATTTTTTGAATAAGTCTGTTTAATTGGTCACATTTCCATTTTTGTTTTTTCAATCTCGTTTCTTGATGTGTCCACAAGATTTAACTTTCTTACTGTCTCTGATTTACTTTCCTCTTTAAATTTTTGGCATTGTACCAGGTAGTCTTTGGTTTCTTCATATTTCTTTTGTAATTGAAGTACGCAATTTTAAAGTAAACGTGCTCTGGAATCTTCTTTAACCTTCGCATTCATAGTATCTACCCGGGTAGATAATTAGATTTTTATTTGCTTATAACTTAACTGATTTTCATCAAATCTGAAAATGCTTCCGACTCAGTTATCAATTTTTCGATTTATTTCCGAAAATGCAAAGAAAATATTTTTACAGAAGTTTTTTAAATATATTTTTTTTAATTTGGTCCTTTTATATATGTAAATTAATAGTATCTACCGAGATAGATATATAGGAAATCAGAGGGAAATATACTTTTTCTAATATAATGTCAAGCTATCTGAAACTATTGGAAAAACAATAAAACATATATAGTATATCACATTACGAGTGTGGAAAATCACTTTTCACACAAGTGATGTACAATATTTTTCCTACGACCACAAAATAATTTCATCAAAAAATGTAGAACCAGGTTATTATAATAATTAAAATGTATTTAAAAAATTATTCAACAATAATCGTATTTATTAAATTTTCATATTTTCTAAACAAAAAAAAAACTAAAAAAAAAATGAAAAAAAAAAAAATTCTGCCCCGCAAGCATTTGAACGTGGTCGCTCGCCAGGTCTCAAATGGCAAAGTTGATAAAGTTTGATGCTCTAACCATCTGAGCTAATAGGCCTTATGTCAATTGAAGGATCTAATCGGTTATGTGTTTAACCAGAATAAAAAGCAAACATAACTTAGTTATTTTAAAATTATTTTAATAATAATTGTTAAAGATAAATATCTAGGATCTAATTTACAACAATTTCAATAATTTAACAATCATAACGATTTTAATATTAATATGAACATTACATAGATCAAAATAGAAATGACGCGTTTGACATTTTGTGACAGCTGATGCGGAAAGTAGCATATTCGTACACGGGTGAAAAGTAAATTCTTAATCATACGCGTGTGATATAGGGCGCTTTCCATAGGACTATATAGTGTGATATGTGTCACTTTCCTAAGTGGTCGTAGGAAAAATAAATGTATGTGTATGTGTGTATATTGAAATAAAAATTATACCAATGTGAGAAAAAGAAGGGAACATTCATCTAAGCAAGTTGTGATGAACCAATATGACAAGCTTCGTCTGTGTGAAGCTATGTTGTGCACATACGGGCTTGTCGTGTAGCTCTTTTCCTTTTAGTGTCTAGGTAGCACTTGAAGCAACCACGTTTTTGTCTGATGCACCCACTTGCATCTCGTTGTGAAAGGTCATCAGCTTCAAACTCTTCATTGTTCGGTACAGAGACTGACTCACCTGGAATAATACTAAAATTTTTATACTTTTCAAGTTAAAAGTCATTCAGAGACATACCTAAAATACATTCATATGATGTCTTGATGGCAAACTTGTTGACTACCATAGGTCTTTGTGCTCGGATCCTAATTTGCGGAATGCAAAGATTTTCACCCAAATTCTGTATCAATTCTCTACGTCGAGATTTTTTTACCGCACTATGTGGACTACTGCCAGGGCTGAGATATCCAACAAGTTATAAAACATTGCTAGAGGCCAACGAGTTGTTCCTCTTTTTATGGTATATTGAGACGCCATTGTATCCACGCAGTCCTTGGTTTTATTATAAAACAGAATCATTTCTGGCTTTTTTATATATTGGAGACAGATGAATCTCGATGCATAGACGAAAGAAGCACTACAGCTTTTCCCTTTGCTGGGACGTAGGAGCACATAGTTGCATTTGGACCAAATCCAAATTCACTAGAATACACTTCTCGCCTTTTTGACGCTTTAAATTCTTCAGTCACATACCTCTTATTTTTCTTCAAAGTGCCGATGATGGACATTTTCCAAGTTATGAGTTCCAAGAGCAAAGGGAGCGAAGTGAAAAAATTGTCCATCGTTACATTTCGCCCTGTAGTTTTGTAGGGAGCAACTAGGTCCTTCACAATCTTGTTTATATACTTATTAAAAGTTTATTTTCGAACGTTTTGAGTTTCTATTCATCAACCAGTATAGTTTTCTATATTTAATACCGAACTCTTCCCGTTTTATCTTAATGCGTTCATTCCACTTTAATTTTATATCTAGTTTCATTCCTAAGTATTTTGTCGAATTAGAATATAGTATTCTAGTATTATTTAATGTCACTGGTAGATATTCTACTGATCCTTTATTAGTGAAGTTAACCTGAACTGTTTTAATTTCGTTGAGCTTAATGCGCCATCTTTTTGTTCACTCATAGATTTTATTAGTTGCATGTTGAAGTTTTCTGGTCGATTCTTCTATGGTTTTACCGATGACAAGTATGGCGGTGTCGTCGGCAAATGTGGCTACTTTCATATTTTGCATTTGTGGTATGTCGGAGGTAAACAACAGGTAAAGAACTGGCCCCAGAACACTTCCTTGAGGTACTACTGCTTTAGTTTCTAAGCGTGGAATATTCTTCTTGTTTTATTCGGAATATTCTATCAGTGAAGTAAGATTTTAAGATGTCACAATATTGCCTAGGTGGCGAACTTCCTCATGGTACTCCTTTAGTTTTCGCGGAGCCCCTAGAGAGGCTTTGCGGAGCCACAGAGCATAGCACATTTTAAGAAACGCTGCTCTAGGGTATGAATTGCCTACGTTTTTTCTTGAAATTTCTGGTGTATTGTTCCATGACGATTGCTGTATGTCAATTAATATATAATTGATCATTTATTTCAAGTGTTTCTAATGGTTTAATTTAATGCCTCTATTCTCTATATGTAAAATCTCAAAATTATCTGTAAATTAATGATTTTCCGCCAAAGTATGTACAATTATTTTTGTTTTTAATATAATTATTGTAATGTTCTGAATAGCGTTTTTTAAAAGTACGGCCTGTTTGACCAATATACAATTTTGGACAACTACCACAATTTAATTTATATACTTCCGATTCATTATTGGGGTAATTTTGGCCTTATTGTTTTTAATATAATATAAACCCACCTCGTTACTTCTTGTTTATGTGCGATACACAAAATAGCTTGGTTTTAAGCCGTCATTGTTTGTTTCACGGATGTGTTGACCTCTCTTTTTAACTACAGGCATTTTCGGAAACCTCTGATACTCAATCAGCATAAAGCACCTCCAGAAACGCGACGATTCAGAGCGCGCGCGCAAAAAAAAGAGATTAACATGTATGAAAATAATAAAAATATTAAAATTAAATTTATATTTTTATGTGATTTTAAAATAATGTGTTTTTATGAAATTTAACCTATGGGAAAACCGCTTCTGGGTGTACCATTTTGCGGAAACCACCCAATCTGTTCAAATTTTTCTGATGTTAAAATTCAATTAGATTTATGGCAAACATTGGGTTCCGAGAACATTGCCAAAAATATTTTATTAGATTCAAAATTATTATTAATATTATTATTATGCCACTACCTACTTTATATTTACATCATACACTTAATGAAATTCATAGGAAACTGCCAGTTTTGCTGAATCAGTCCCATATTCATAATTACAAGACACGTAACTCACATTATATCAGAAATAATCGTTTTAGATTATGTCTATCTGAAATGAATTCGCTAAATTATACTTTATTTAACATATTACCGCAGGCCATCCAAAAAACTATTCACGTAAATTATTTTTTTTAAACCCTTATTATAATGAAAATTGTTCATAGTTATATTCTAACTTTATTCAAATGCCTGTCTTTGCAACCGTAAATATAAATTTTACTGAAAACGAATTTACACAAATGCCTTAAAATACATTTACAAATCGCCCTGTATATTTTTAATAATAGCTAATAGATATCCTCTCTCGGAGGAGAGAAACATCATCCCACTTAGAATCGAATCAAGGCAGATATTGTATTCACACTACATCGCCTAAGTATACTTCAACTTATTCTCCTCGCGGTGATTTCACTTTCCGATTCAGATTTTAGTCACAAACCGCGACTCGAGTTCCCCGTGTCTTGGATCTTGTCCGGTTCGCCGATCGTCAACTGTTTACCTTGTCGCGTAAACAAACAAACGACAATCGAATAGGTCCTGTGTCCTGGCTAGGACGACGTGATGTCGCGAAGGACCACCGAATTTTTTCCGGCGATTTCTGTTTAACCGTTCGCACGTGCGATTTGTTTTTGTGCTATATAGTGTGCGTTTTGTTTGGTTTTTCTTTCGAGGTTTTTCTGGTATTTGTTACGGTTGCACACGTGGGTAGCGGTTCTAGGATACTAGCAAAGTTGTTGGGTAGGCTAAATGGTTTGTAATTCAAGGAGTGGTCGGAATTATTTCGTTTTTTGTTTGGTTTTGGATTTTAATATTCATTTATGCGGTTTGATACTGGTAAAAAAATTTGGGTGGTAATTAATATGGTGCAAGCAAAATTTAAAAAATATTCGTTATTAATCATTAAAGAAAATTGTTAATTTATATGCTGTAAATATTAAATATTGATTAGTTTGGAATAGAGTCGGGTAGTACCTGGAACTACTAAGAAAAATTACATTATCAAAAAATATTTCCATTTTTAAAGACAACATAAGTATTGAGAAGCCAAGCTCTCAATAGTAGCTAAAGAGTTTAATTACTTTTTAATTTTGCTTGTTAAAAAAATGTTACATAGTTATGTTTGTGATAAAATACAAAAATTAAAAATAAACCATCTAGAGGTTTTGATGAATTTTCTAGAAAACCTTACATAGTATTACCCTTAACGCATATAATTAATAAATCTCTAGGTGAAGGAACATTTCCCGATATACTTAAGATTTCAATAGTTTTGCTTATATTAAATAGAAGAGGTGTCCAATTATCGACCAATTTCGGTAATATAAACATTCCCTACATTTTTTTTAATATATTATGTTAATTTTTTCATAAAATATAAATTGTTGTAGATGTAAATCTTATATGTAAATAGTGTAAATAAGAATAAATATATATCCTCATTTGAACACGGCGACAGCCCTGTAGGAATCTTCTGCGATCTCAGCAGGGCGTTCGACTGTGTTTAACATTATGTTCTTCTCCATAAACTCTACTCTTGTGGAATTAGAGGTATTCAAAATAGTCTCGATCCTTTATTGAAGATCGGCCCAAATCAGTTGATATTAATTTTATTTATGCAAACACTTTTTCTCACAGAAACTGATCATAAATGCGGAAGTACCTCAGGGATCGGTGCTAGCCCCTATACTGTTTACTATCTATATGCAGATGACTCAACCTTTATTTTTCAAATCCTAACTCAAAAACGAACAATAACGAGCTCTAAAAGGGGACAAAGCCTGTTTATTTTGAAATAATAATAATAATAATAATAATAATAATAATAATAATAATAATAATAATAATAATAATAATAATAATAATAATAATAATAATAATAATAATAATAATAATAATAATAATAATAATAATAATAATAATAATAATAATAATAATAATAATAAAAAAAAATAGAAAACAAAAACCAAAAGCAATATCAACATGAAATGTTTAGTAAAAAACAAGCTCTATTAGGGAATTAATAAATAAATAAACATGAGGATAAGGGGGGTTGAAATATTGAAAAAAAATCTGACTCAGAAACAAAAAAGATATCAAATTTAAATCTTTGAAAAAAATCTAATTGAAAATTGAAATGTATATTTCATGTATTTTATAAATAAATAATTTTGGAATATGTATTTTTAGAATGCGTATTTTGAATATGTATTTTAGAATTCGAGATATTATTTGCTTTGATACTACATTTTTTGCTTATTATCCTTTTTTTAAAATAACGACTAGGTTGTTCTATATACAGGGTTGGGATAAAGTATGGAACCAAGTAAATATCTTTAAAACGAAAAGGACGATATTTATGAAACTTTGCAGGCAAATACAATGACGCATAACGCATCTGATGCCATATTTTTTGTTACTACTGTACTCCCGGTTTCACCGGAAATACCCTCAACTTTTTTAATTTAAAGGGGACACCCTGTATATTTTTGCAGATTTTAAAAGATATTGTACGACACTGTACGAATTCGGAATAACAAGATATTTAAAAATCTGCAAAATATACAGGGTGTCCCCTTTAAATTAAAAAAGTTGAGGGTATTTCCGGTGAAACCGGAAGCATAAAGGTACCATTTGGGTAGGCGCGTCAAGAGACAAGCGACCACTGATGCGACCCCAAGGTCGAGTAGGACGACAGATGCATAAATGTTAAGGTACTCGTTCGATAGTCGCTGCAGAGACATGCTGCAGCTGCAGGCGGCAGAGGCAAGAGGCAGAGACACTACTGTTCTAATGAAATCTAATGATTTACCGTTCGATGCATGCTGCAGCAGCAACTAGCTTATTAAGTGTCTCGCCCTGTCTCTGCTGCTTGGACGCGCGTCAGCGTCAAGACCGGTCTGGAGGCAGTCGTTCTGCAGCAATCGTTGTAATAAGTATTGTTGTGCTATTATCAAGCAATGGCTTCTTTGGATAAAATAGTGAAAAATACGCCATCGCAATCAAAGTCGTCAGTATTTTCAGGGGAAGAAGATGATCTACTTATAGATTTAGTTGAGCAAAACCCAACTTTATACGACCTTCAACTAGAAAGTTACAAAGATATTGTAAAGCGGGAAAATATTTGGAAAGAAATAGGAGCAATATTAAAACGAACAGGTATGTACTTTTATTTTAAATGATTTATAAAGCAAAATCATAATGCATATTATAATTATAAAGTAACTTTTGTCAATTTATCTGTCTTACAATTTAATTATGAATTATAATAAACATATAGACATGGTACATGACATACAAAGTAATTAAATTTTAAATCCTTCTACAAATATAAATCTGAAATGAGTGGTATGGAACGCTGTTCCTAGTCTTTTTTATTGAAGATATGTTGCTCTTGCCAGGACAATTTTCCGTGTTCGCTTAAAAAGTATTCTGTAAGCTGAGTTCTGACCCATAAACCCGTTCGCTTAGCGAACCCGCCAGAATGGTTTAAAGGAGCCATATTTAATTTGGGTGGATTTTCTTTCTCGTTGTACTGAAATCCGCCACTATTATTGTTTTGTAAATATTCGTTACGTAAAAGGTTATGTAAGCAGCATGCTGCCATTATCAACTCGTTGCAAGTTTCAGGTTTAATTGATATGGGTGTATAAAAGACTCTGAAAACTTGGCTTAATAAACCAAATGCATTTTCCGAAACTCTGCGAGCGCGGCAAATGCGATAGTTATATATTTCTTTTTTATTGTCGTGTTTTGCAGTTTTTCGAGGATATGGCTTCATCATGTAGGAATCAATTCCAAATGCTTCATCACCAATTAAAAAATGTGGTATATAAATATTAGTCCCTGGAAGACATTTTTCTTCAGGTATATTAAAATTGTTTGATTCTATTCGATGGCATATAGCGGATCTTCTAAATATATTACTGTCTCCTTCTTTTCCGTACGAACCAATATCAACTGCAATAAATTTGCAGTCCGCATCTACAACGGCTAAAAGCACAATTGAAAAATATTCCTTATAATTAAAATATAATGAACCACTTTTTTCTGGCGATTTAACTCGAATGTGTTTCCCATCTATTGCTCCTACACAGTTCGGTACATTCCATTTATTCCAAAATGTTGCGGAAACTCTATAAAAATCCTGTTCAGATAATGTTGGCATTGCAACTGATACAAGGTTTTTGCACAATGCTTTTAAAACTTCTCTAACGATCTTTGAAATATAACAGTCAGATATACGATATGCAAAAGATAAAGACACAAAAGTTTCTCCAGTTGCCATAAATCTAAAAAAAAAATAAAAGTTAGTTTCCATTTTAGGGGACGATTGTAAAAAAAGATGGAAGTGCATTAAAGACTCCTACAACAGATATAAACGGAAAAGACATGCAGGGACAGGAAGTGCTGCTAAATCTAAAAATTCTAAATGGGAGGTGTATGCTAGACTAAGTTTTTTAGAAACATCATCTCATAAAGACACTATGTCGAATGTACCTGCTGTTTCAGATGATGACGACAACCATGGGAATGATGAGAACGAAACCAATATTAATATAAATGATGACGATGCTGATGGTGGTGATATAGATACTGCTGACAATGAAACCCAATCGACGATTGTGAACGAATCTCAGGACGAAACACAAGTTTTACAACAAAATAAAAATACTTCGAAACAAGTCCCAACTCGAAAGCGGAAACGGCAAACCAAAGAAGATGAATTCCTACATTATCTAAAAGAAAGGGATACCCAAAGACAAACGATTTTTAAAAATTTGAGCAATAAAGAAAATAATGATAATAATGGAGATGAAAATGGCATCAATTCCTTTGGAGAACATATTAAAGCTGTACTCAAAAAGTTACCCCCAATTTTAATGATTAAAGCTAAAACAGAAATATTTAACACTATGAGTAAGTATGAACTTATGTCAATGACTCCTTCTGACGCAATCCGTCCACAAAGTTCAGTATCTGACTTCAGTTATTCAATATCTTCCCCAATAGAGGCATCAATTTCAACACCATCGACAAACGAACATACCTACACAGATATCTCAATGTGGCACATGAATTGAAATATTCACTAAATGTATAATTTTTTATGTTATTTATTTTGACTTACCTTAAAGTAATAAAGAGTTTTTCTTCAGTTGTAATTTTCGTTCTCAATTTTTTTGGCTGCATGTCTTTTTCAATTAAACTTAAAACAAAATAAAATTGAGTTTTATTCAGTCTGCAATATTTTCTAAATAAATATTCATCGCCTTGTAGGTGCTGTAAAATTAACAGTTTAAAATAGCCTTCTGTTTTTCTTTTTTTAAATAAGGAGTGTATTGGAGCTCTTTTGCTTTTCTTGTATAAATAGTACAATATTAAATCCTGATCTTCCTCTTCCTCTAATAAAATTTGTTTAATAATTTTATTCTCGGCAGACATTCTAGATGCACCTTTCTCAACAGTAAAATAAGTACTGATCTGTCATTCTGTCGCATGCTACGAACGAGTCCTCCAAGTGTCTCCTGCTCTGTCTCGGTCGCTTGCCTCTTGCCTCGGCCGCCTTGCAGCTGCAGCCTGTCGCTGCAGCAACTATCGAACGAGTACCTTTACGCTTGGTGCATTTCGCAAGCTTGAGAAGTGTCGCGCGACAGTTACAGGATAACCCTTCGAGGAAACGATCAGCGTTGCTAGACCTACTGTTTTCACGTAGATCCACTGTTTTTGTCTCTAGCAAATTTTGTTCTTAA